TATAGTAATGAAAATGAACATTCTGTGTGCAGTATCTGCACTGCTTGGACTGAGAATTACTTGAGCGAAAACAAGGAAAGAAGAATACCAGATTATTTTTTGTATACTGTTTTATGGTCAGTGTTATGTTCTTATAGCCCTGTCAATTATCACGCGACTAAATCGCCAATCAAAACACCAACTTATACGATTCTGGCCCTGTACCAAACCAATAACGCGTTAACCAGCCTAGAGTTAATTCTGAGTCCTTATTGACTCTTCTTGCCATGCCCTGCCTGTTGAGTCCAGAACGCATTTTCAACTCCCGCTGTATGAACTATGTATTTCAGACATAAATGTTTATCAAAACTTGTAATGAAGTCATATTTATAAAAGATGATAAGTAGTTGAGTAGAAATTGTGCTGATTTGAAGTTATCGGTAGAATTTCAGGTCTTTAATCTTAATGAACTATATTACATGAACTAATAGTTTGGACGAACTGTGAAAGTGTGTTAATGTTCATAAGGAACTGACATAATTTTTAGAATTATTGGATAACAAAACCGTATACCTACATAATCCTGGTATTAGACTCTTTAACAGTGTGCACTAACAAATACGCTATGGATCAAACCAAGAACACTTATGTTTTACAATAAGCGCGTTTATTTTAAATCAATAGAATGAAATAAGAAGGTCCATTTGAGATATCTATCAATAGACAAAATATATAGTCCTTATGATCTATATGGAAAATAAACTTGACTAAAAAGCAAGCTTATTTATCAAAGGTAGGCGATTACTGGTTAACATATAGATGTATATTTGAATTTAATTACATCATGGTTTATCCTCGTTAACCAACGACTAACTAAGTGATGCAACCACAAAGTAGAATACAATAAACATGTATTATGCTACTGAAATAAATTGAAGAAGTGAAGTAGCTTGAAAGTTTAAAAGAAGTTGTCATTTAAAAATCCGACTAAGAAATATTTTTCGTAACCTGTTTGAATAAATGAGAATGTGAAAGGTGAATAGGTAGATCTTCTTAATTCGATTAAGTGTGAAATTAAAATTAGATTTTAAGCAGAACGTTTAACTTAAGGTATTCTCGTAGCTTTTGCTCTGATTAGTCGCATTTTTGAGAATAAAATAAGACACCATCATTTTTGAGAAATGGAGTCTGAGCAACACGAGTTCCAAATTTAACACCAATAATTCATTGATCAAAGTTCAAGGTTAATTTTTAGAACAGATAACCTTTTCTTCGAATATATCCTAAGTGAATATCAATAATAAACATGGCTCTATTTAATACAGAACAAATTTTATAATGTGGAATTTTTCAAAAGCAGATATTACCAACAAATCTGAATAATCTTCGTTTTGCTAAGTTTTATTCTTGTATTACTTACCTACTTTCGCCAGTTACCCCCAAAGGAGCATAGGCCGTCGAACAGCATTCTCCAACCCGCCCTTTCCATTCCAGTTCTGTTCAAATTTTGTTCATTTTTCTCGCATCTGTTCCCATTTCTCGGCATGATGTGTTCTTTGATATTCTTCTTTTCCTTTGGCCTTGAGGATTCCATGTGACGGCTTGTCTTGTGACGCAGTTGGGTGCTTTCCTCAATGTGTGTCTTATCCACTTCCAGCGCTTCTTCCTAATTTCTTCCACTGGGATCTGGTTTGTTCTCTCCCATAGTAGGTTGTTGCTGATAGTGTTTGGCAAACGGATCCGAAGTATTTTGTGTAGACAACTGTTAACAAACACTTGTATCTTCTGGGATATCGCTTTCGTAATTCTCCAGGTTTCCGCTCCATACAGTAGAACCGTCTCAACATTTGTATTGAAAATCCTGACCTTGGTGTTGGTTGAAAGTTGTATTGAGTTCCAGATGTTCCTCAGTTGTAAATATGCTACTCTTGCTTCGCCGATCTACGCCTTCACATCTGCATCAGATCCACCCTCTTCATCTATGATGCTGCCCAAATATGTAAAGCTTTACATCTTCCAAATCATCTCCGTCAAGTGTGATTCGATTGTTGCATGCTGTTTTGTATCAGAGAACCTTGCTTTTGCCTTTGTGTATGTCGAGACCTACTGCTGTTAGGGCTGCCATCATACTGTTCGTCTTCTCCTGCATTTGTTTTTGCGTTTGGGATAGAAGGGCCAGATCATCTGCAAAGTCTAGATCGTCGAACTGCACTCTAGCTGTCCACTGTATCCCATGCTTCCCCTCATATGTTGACATCTTCATGATCCAGTCTATCACCAGGAGAAAGAGAAAGGGTGAGAGTGAGTAACCTTGCCTGACACCGGTCTTTACCTCGAACGAGTTTGTCACTTATCCTCCATGCACGATTTTCAGTTTATTCTTGTATGTCGAGACATTATTTCCTTTACCTTGAATTCTGTTTGACCTACAGTAAGTTCTTTTTATGACAATAATTCGAAGCGTTTTAAAGTTGATGCAGTGAGATACAAACCAATATTATAGATGATATTAACTTACACAACTATTCCAGGTAAATTCCCTATTTCCTGTATCATTATAGATATTAAATTTTGCGAAAAATACATGTTTTTAAAAGGTTTGTGATTGAATGATCAACTCAAAATAATTGTTCGTAAATCTACTGATAATATTTTATTCACAGTATCTTGCAATAGACTAATATTGTAACTTATTATTTTTCGCTTAAAAATAGCATTCATAAGATTGACCGGGTATCTAAGCCACAAGTTAACAACCTACTGAACTCCGAACCATTACCACCAAATGACAAGATTAATCTAAAGTATAAGACAACTGATCAAAGTTTGGCCATAGGATGGAAACAAATGCAATATGATCAAATCTCTAATGTTCATAGCCCATTCATCGATGCCCAACGGCGTCCACGTTTAGGAGATTGTGTTAGTAAAGTTACAGAATCATCAAAGATGGATTTTACACTGAATACTGGGGTAGCTCCTCAAGATACAAGTGTGCCTGTTACTACCTCAACACATTTCAGTGTAAGCTTTGAGAGTCCTTTGGAAGCTTCCTCGTTAGGAGCACGACTTAGTCCTGTTGGTAGTAGTTGTTGGTCATCTGAACAACATATCTCACCAGATTTGACATCACTTATGAGTAGTAGCACAAATTCTGTATCTGCTGGGATATCGTTAAGTTCGGGTCGTCAGCATGCTCTGAAATCATTACTCCACAGGCAGCCATCAGCTGGAACAGGATGTTCTGGTGGTACTTTGTCAACAGAAGCTGGACAATTACAATCTGCCTCAAATTCTGTTCGTTCTGCTCCTTTATGTGCTAGCCAAGTGACCAAGTCGAAGTGGAACAAACAAATGGGAATAAATAAGAATGCAAATTTACAACATTTTGCGCCACCTCCACCGTCATTAGTAATCAGTGATCCAGAAGAGGAACTGCACAATAAACGTTTACAATTGTAAGTTAAATTTATTTTAAATCTTTAAAAGTATTGTTATTTTCTATAATATATTTGTGGGATAATCCTTATTGACCACTGATGATACACTTAAACTGAAGAAACCAAACATTCTTATTCAGGGTTAATATATTAACTGTTATTATTTAGGTTAATGATTTGCAGGAAGAATTAGGGTCTGAGTGTACATACATAAACCCTAATACTAAATCCTAAACCACACTAAATCAGCGTGTTGACGTGCCACTATAGCAGAAGTATCAACAGTATCAGTGGTAATAAAAATATTAGACAGACGATATGATCGGAGAACAAGGAATAAATTCGCCGAATAAAAAGTATGAAACAAATTTAAAGCTCCATATCAGATTGAAGACAAAGAGTGAATCTATCTGCGTCAGTGCGAGAGATTCTGAACCATGTCATTTAACATCTCCAAACATTGATTACGATAAATGTCCGGACACCAACCTGGTTATCTAAACTTACGTACATGCCTTAGACTAACAATTAATGACTTCATAATCTGATGCTACGTTTTGGTTTGATCGCCTCTAGCTTTCTACTGATCTACTTGTATACGAGCAAACAATATTAGAATTATACAGAATTTGAAACATACTCGATTCCGCAGTACATATGTTAAAATTGGAAAGATACAGAGAAGATTAGCATGGTCCCTGCGCAAGGATGACACGCAAAATCGTGAAGCGTTCTATATTAGTCTCTGACCAAGAAAATATTAGAATTGGCTAAACTGGTCATTAAATGAAAGTGAATATTGTATATGTTTCATTTCTTAATGTTGGACGAAATAAATCAGCCAAACAGTCCATTCGAATAACTACACTAAGTTACTTGATTTGACTTCGAGTTGATCGGTTTTAAACAAAAGACATACATATTATGCTGAAAACATATTTAGGTAAGGCAAATACGACAACTTAAAACTGTAGCGCACATATCAAAACAGGATTTTATACATTACATTTATATCTGATATTGCCAAATAAAACTTTTAATGTAACGAAGAGGAAGTGGTGGATCAGTTTCAAAGTTGAATTTGACTTTGTCAACAAAAAAAATCAACAAAACTAACATGGAGACTTGAATTCACCATTTGAATCTTGTAACCTATACTGTAGTCAATTTTGAAAAGTTTGAAAAGGAACATGGCGGGAAAAAAAAGGATAAAATCAACTATTTTGATGTTCTTATTATCTATTCTTGTACAGAATAATCCAAGCATTTTCATGACCTAAACATAAATGACAAATGAATAGGATAATAAAAATAATACACTATACAATGGAAAAGGAAGTAAATTGTACATTTTTGAAAGATAACATTTATAAACATTAACCAGCCCAAGTTTGTGCATTGTTCTGAGATGTTCATCATTTATCCCTCCCCTTGCAACAGTTCTGAATTAGTTCATGTTCTTTTCTTTTCATATGTATTAATTGTAACTGATATTACTTTTTATTCTATTCTGATATCTATTTACCATTTTTAGTCTACCTATACTATGAATTGAAATATTAAATGAGAGTAAACAGATGAATGAAATATGAATCAAGGTTGGTTTAGTTCAACAGTGCTATTAGAGAGTAAATCAGAGAAAACTATTAGTTCAGTAATTATTGGAAATGTTTAGCAAAGTGCACAACTACTATTTTGATGTGCTCTATTAGATGAGAATAAATAAGAAATGAACAAAATTGTGACTCTACCTTGATGGCTCGTATAACTTAATAAATGAACTATGGAGACACCTTTAAGTGTGATTTAATGGTTTGGCTAATTATCTTTGTAGTTTTGGACATGGACTTTACTGTATGCTTTTACGGTTGTTAACAGACAGCTTGAAATTCTGCTAGAGCATTGGTCAAAAAGTTATTCAAGCTATCTATAGAATTCACTTGAAGAAACTAAAGAGTACTGTACAGGTGTTTCACTTTAGTTGATGACTCCGTAGTATAGCCATGTAGCCATAGCAATATAACAATATATATCAAATGTAAATTGGAATCATCAGTATGAGGTTGTGGAGATTGTTGAGTTTTTGATTGAGATCATGAGTTGATCAATGTTAGACCACTATTGAGACAGTTACCTACCAAAGACAATGAAAAATAGTCGCGCAATTTCGTCGATTGGTTGAAATTAAACATCAACACCGTTGTATGCCGGTTCAGTGGTTTAGATGTTAAGCGCTCTCACGCCAAACCGAATGTCCTGGGTTCTAATCGTGGATGCGTACTGCCGAAGAATTCCATAGTAGAACAAAACGGTCATCTAATGGTTTCAAGCTTTTAATAGTGGTCTAACAATGATCCATTCATGATCTCAAATAAAATAGAATCTTGAAGTCTCTTATCAAGAGCATAATGATTAAATGTTCCATTTTTTATTCAAATTTTAATCAATTCACGACATAATGAAGTATACTGATGAGATGTAAATATACTAATACTAAACAGTTCAACATGATTCTTAATAGACAGCTAGACAATGTTGATTTATGAGGAAAGTGATTATCGAATTTAACTACTGACTTGAAATAATTTAACTATCAGATAGTAGATTAGAACCCTGTTTTTTTTATTTTTAAAAGAAGTTTGTATGATTGTGATTATGATGACCAAGTAATTAAAATGGGTAAAATAAATGATTAAAGTATTGATCAATTGAGAATATACAATACTATGATGTAACTAAGTGATAACTATTTATAAGACTGGATTATTTAATCAAATAATCGAAAGAACAATGATCAAAGACAAGAATATTAGCCATATGAATAGATTTATCATAATAGTAATAAATTAACATAATTCTACACTAAATGATAAACATAAGAATATGAATGATTAGAAGTCATTTAAAGTAATAAACAATTGAATATGTAGGTCAACTAAATGTCAATGAAATGATAATTTAATTATTAAAATCAATTATTGCCTGATATGTTACTTGTTAAGGAATCGGAAATTTTAAATATCCATTTCAGAGTGTATATAAATTTACTTTCTTGCTTGAAAACGTTTTACCTTAAACGTAGGTAATTAAATTATCCTTAAGTGATAGATATGAATTGGATAGGATAGAAAAACGTTTGTTTACCTTTTAACAAATCTCTGAACCAAGTTAAACAATTATTCTTTTCAATGGTTAAGATCATGAGTCAGTTGAAGTTAGACCACCATGGAAAACCTGTAAGCACTAGACGGCCGTTTCGTCCTATCGTGGGACTCTTCGGCAGTGCGCATTCACGACCTTGCCCCTTGCGACATTCGAACCCTGGACCTACTGGTTTCGCGCTCGCGCGCGTGTCGCTCAATTTCGTGGATCAGTTGAGTTTAAACATTAACACCGTTGGATGCCGGCTCAGTGGTCTAGTGATCAAGTGCTCTCGCGCAAGACTGATAGGTTCTGAGTTCGAATCTCGCAGGGTGCGGGATCGTGGATGCACACTGCTAAGAAGTCCCACAATAACACGAGACGGCCTTCCAGTGCTTCCAGGTTTTCCATGGTGGTCTAGCTTCAATTGACTCACGATCTTAAGCATTGAAATTACTATAATATCCACAAAACCCATCTGATATTAATTATTCTTTTCTTGTTGATGTTCATATGTTAATCATAATTGGTGGTCAGAAATATTAGGTGACATGGTTTTGTTATAGATTATTACATTGTCTATCACTACAGTTTCACATTCAATATTGTTTCATACTTCTTGTGCATTAATTTGCTCCGTGTTTTCAGATCGTTCGGACCACTTTTGCTTATTCTCTATTTATTTTATCAACTTTGTTTGATTGTGTTAAGGCAGGTAGTAACTTGTTGTAATGCAAATTTGTACCAGGTTGCACATTAGGTATGACTGACTATGTAAAGTGGTGGTTTGAGGTCGTCGACAGAAAGCCCTGGACTTAGTTTTCGTGCTATTCGGCACTCCTCAGCAAGGTGTACCTGTAATATTGAGGGAACTGATGTTCCCTGTGGATTCGACCCCATGTCATCCAACTTCACAGTCAGAGACGTTATCAATGAGCTATCTAGGCCGCAACTGACCTCCTGTAGGATTAAGATACATTTACAATTGAGTGATCATTGGATTGTGACCACTGTCATGTTTGTCAGGTCCTTCTTCCTGATGATCAAATTCTATCGATCAAGTTGCAACATAGCCACTAGTCTAGGTGATTCGACGTCATGTATACTATGTTGAGATGTATGGTGGTTGTTAGAGGTAGTCAACAGGAAACATTTTATGATTTTTCATAAAAATAACCTTTATACTATATAAAATTTTTCACAATAAACTTTAACAGTTATAAGAAATTGTTTTTTACGTTCAAGATATGTTCTAGCTATTCGATGTATTGCCTATCCACTTCTTAACGCTAATACTACTGGTCAAAATAGAAGATATCTACGAGTAACAAAAGATTATTTGAATATTTTGAAGGAACGTTTTCAGGTAGGTTATTGTTTATTAATTCTATTTCTGATTTGTATTAACAACTTGCTTGAGTAACGGTTAAGTTTACACTGACAGATCAAGTGTTATTTGCTTTTATAATTTCTTCATCATTCAGAATAGTCTAGAAATGTTATCATTCAAACAATTTGAATTATGTTTTATTAAGCTGGATATAATTTATCATCTTGGTTTTTCAGCATACTATAGTTTATTCAGTGAAAAATCCTTTGTGATATTATTTGTATTTGCTTATCTTACTATGATATAATGGTTTGTTGATTGTACCATTATGGTGCGTGCTACTTATATTGACATAAGTAGTATATAACGCGAGTCAGGAATGTAATGTCTGGCAGCAGAAGATTGGGAAGATCAAGAAAGGAAGAACGGAAATAGAAAGCAATTAGTATAGAAATTAAAAAAAAACAATGAAGTCCGAGACAATTACTGAACACTTTGCAAATTAGGGATTATAGTATGGTTTTTCTATTTTACCAAGTAAATCGCATTTCGTCCTATTTGGGACGTTTGGGTCATTTGAAGTATAAACGATTAAAAATATACTAAATATGTAGATTTCACAAATACGTTCCTTCTCTTTAGTGTTTCACATCAGTTGAAACTATCATATATTCAAGTTGAATAAAATCTAACTCTAGCCTCAGTTGACTCATGATCTCAATTGTTGGAATTACTACAATCTCCGCAAAATCCCTTCTGATACTAATCAACATATGCTCACTAGGGACTGGCTTTAAGAGATATAACCTGGAGTTCTAGTGAGAAGCAGTGACTAGTGGAGTTCAACCGGGTCAGTTGTGAGATAGTAACTCACTAATGACAATGATGGATATGTCGCTCAATTTCGAAGATCAGTTGAACTTGAACATTAACACCGTTGGATGCCGGCTCAGTGGTCTAGTGGTCAAGCGCTCCCGTGCGAGACTGATAGGTCCTGGGTTCGAATCCAGCGAGGCAGGATCGTGGATGCACACTGCTAAGGAGTCCCGCAATAGAACGAAACGGGCGTCCAGTGCTACCAGGTTTTCCATGGTGGTCTAGCTTCAATTGACTCATGATCTCAACTATTGAACTATTGGACCAAACCATCCAGCTCAGAGAACAAAACTCCATCAAAATCATCCACCTGAGCTACAAATCTTCACCATCTAAAAAAATTCTTTTATTCTAAGTAATGCAAAGAAAGTGAAATATTTTGGATGAGATTCCATTGAAACATTAGTGTCTTGAAAACGTAAATAGTAGTTCTTCATTTAAGATTAGCACTGTTAAAAGTCTAATGGAATATCTTTCAACAACATGAAAAACAGTAATAAACGGAATACACCCATTAAAACATTAAATAAGAAAGATTAGTTCAGCGAAGTGTTCTCTTTTCGTCGAATTCATTTTCAAAGCTGTACAATCGCAAATATATATACTTATTTTTACAGGATGATAATAATACTGATAATAAACTTGTTATACATTGTGAGAGTGAGGTTAAATAAACAATGGTAATCATCAGCATCATTGCATTATTATTTCATTGTGACCTTTGCCTTATGCATGTTATTAAAAAAATTTTTTTTAGTGTATTGTTTCTTATATACACATATCAAGTAACCAAGCCTTCTAAGTCTTTTCAAGGTTTCATTGATTTATGTGAATTTATGTTCTCTTTGTTTAAGTTGTATTTACGTGGAGAGTTAGCAATTAGTAGTGATGAAGCATTTCATACTGCTGTCAATGAATTTTTTGAAGCTGTTCTTAACAGTGATCGTCTTTTAAATATGGTTAAATCAGGAAGTTGTTCCATGTATGATATTCGAGAAATTTTTATTGCAAATATTGAAAAACAAGTAAGTAATTTATGGAAAAGTTTATATTATTCTGCTTAATTAAGTGTTAAGTATTTTAGTCAGTGGCATTTATTTTAACGTTGAAAGGATAAAATAAGAGGCTTCTTTAATAACTTATACTTTTCAACCATACTTGTTGGTATTGTGGTGTATTCTACTTATGTCGACAGATCATCATTGAAAACCTGACCGTTTTGTTCTAGTATGGGACTCCTCAACAGTGTGCATCGACGATCTCGCATGAGATATTCGAACCCAGGATCTTCAGTCTTGCGCTCGAATGCTTAGCCTTTTTGATTGGAAAATATCAACTTATTTAGAGAATCATTACTAAATAAACTGAGAAGTTAGCATACTAACATTTAACAATATATACAGACAGAAATAATTTTAAAAAAGCATTATTTAACTAATAGTATCATGTATACTGATATCTGATGTAAAATTTGAAATACATTTGAAATTCTGTAATAAAAGCGAGAATTACTGTACATTGATTGGTGGCACAAAACTATGAGGACATTGGAAGTCGATGATTTAAAGACTAATTAGGGTGTGCGGAGTTCTTCTTGACAAAGCTTTTATATTAACAGTTATCTAACAGTACTAGGAAATATTCCGACAAAATAATTAACTACCGAGCTGTTAGTTAACTGATAACACTTAGGAATTTGAATTGTTTTCAAATTCCATATAAAATAAACGTTCTCACACGAGACCGAAAGTCTTTGGTTCGAATCCCGAATCCGGGATCGTGGATACGCACTGGTAAATAGTCTTATACTAGGATGAAACAGCCATCCAGTGCATCCAGGTTTTCAGTGATGATCTAGCTTACATCGACTCATGAATTCAACTGTTAAAATCAAAAATGTATTTTCCTACTAAAAAGTCCTTCAAATATTAAATATATTTGGCTAAGAAATGTAATGGAATAAAAAAATTCACTTGGTATTGTTTGGCTTGTATCATCCCATTGAGGTTTAAGACTGCAATACAAAAATGTTTACAGAAAGTATTTTTAAAATACGTGTGATATTGAATTGAGCAGGCTGAAACTTATTCTTTATGAACGATTCTTAGAAAAACTTAGAAATATCATATAATTACCTACGTAGTTTAAAATGCGGCATTATCAGTCAAAGCTTCTTGAATTCTTAGTTGTCAGGTACCGGGTTATAGGATTTGTGAATATCCATTTCTGACGTTCACAACTGTATTTGATCAGTTTTTACGGGAAAATGTTTGTTCTGAAGAAATATCTGGTTGCTAAAAATAGATTTTGGGTGTTTGGACTCAATGGCTTAGTCAATAACACACTGATGTTTAGAACGATGGACACTAGATCTGAGTCTTATCAATACAGGGATCCAAATACTTCCAACTAACAAATTTCAAAAAGGACGGATCGAGAATCTTGAATTTCAGTAATAAATCTAATACTAACGTGCGAAAACTTCTCATAAATATTCACTTGGAATAGTGAATAAATCTTAAATGAAAACCTATGATAAGTTTGAAGTTCAGCTATCAGTCTAATGTTTGTTCCTATATTTTATCCAAATATTGAACAAGTAACCAGTTTCCTTTTCTCACTTGACTTCTATGAAGCCAATTAAATATGTTTACCAAATCAATCCTTAATTAGCTAGACTAACAAGATGTCTTTTTGATTGTTAATTTAAAAAAAGAATTAGTTATTATATAAACTTTTTGGTAAAACTTCATTATATTTTATCAGTTTCAATGTATTCAACCAGTTGAAGGTTTATCTAAAGAAAGTGTATTAAATGCATGGAAAATTAAGTTTGATCAAATATGTCGTGGTGGTGAAGGACCATGTCCTGAAGCAATGAAATTAGCTGTTCCACAACCAGAACCAATAGCATTATCTAATGAACAATTATATGAATTATTAATGCGTACTTTAACCATTGAAAAGTATGAACATCAAATTTTATATAATGCATGTCAAGTAAGTTGAATCTATGTAATTGCTTTTAAAGAATATCTATTTTAAGTAGTTTGATAGCATAACTTCATATATGAATATAATGATTGTTGAGGAAAAAATAAGTTTTGCAAAGATCTTAAGTGCTAAAGAAGTCAAATAGTTTAAACAAACTGAACAAGAGATGTAATTTAATTTTCTCTTAATTAATTGAAGTCTTGGAATGAAAATATCCAATGGGAAAGTGTGAGCTTCATTGTTATTTACGAGTTTATCTAAATGATAGTTGGCGACATGTACACACCTATGTTAATATCTTCTAAACAAATATTTATAACCATATAGCAAATATGTACAGTGAACATTGAGGTTGATGAAACTAACTTTTCAGAATCTCTATAAAATAAACGACACTGTACTGGTTATAGATTATCTTTCAACATTTATATCACAATGATTGATATTTAAGTAGAGATCAATGTCATCTTTGTCGATTGTTTTTTAGTGCTAATCAAATCGTATTCACCATTTTGTAATGTCATCACAAGTTCAAGTGAGCTAACTTTGAGTGTACCGTATTCAAATGTGAGGTGTTTGGAGGAAGTCGCAGAGAACCCTTGACCCAAGTTTTGTTCTATTAGGGACTCATCAAAAAAGGAGACCTAAAATATAGAGGAGGCTGGTATTTCCTGGTTGATTCTAATCAGAACACTGCCAGCACTATGGATTAAAGAAATATAAAGTTAGTTCCAGCCTGAATAGCTCAGTTGTGATACCTCAGAATTTGAAACTGTATGACGTGGATTCGAAATCTATCAAGCAAATTTAGTTACACCGAAATTAAAAGTACACCTTACCGAAAAGTTTTAACTAATTTAGAGCTTAAGTTCACAGTTTCATGAGTAGTTTAGAAGTAGTTTACATTTAGCCTTTTATATGGTTCAAACATTCAGAACTATTAAATACAAGTATTTAAACAGTTAACAAAATTGGTAATAGACACATTTCTCTAGTAAATATTTATGGTTATATATTACCTTTAGGTTCTGAAAATTGATGCTATTAAGGTAATATATCGAATGATGACAAGTAAAATACTTTTCTATCTAATCTAATCAAAAATTTTCTCACGACTATTTAATTCGTCTTTGATTTATGACGGTTATGGGTAAATATATACGATTCCCAGTTGGCGATATTCACAATTAGATCGTCCACCAGACAAACATTCATCACCACCTAATGTACATATTTGAACTTTTGCATCAATTCAAAAGTAGTTTTGAATATTTAGATCATATCCAGTTATGGTTGAATGTCAGCAAAATCACAGTATTCCGGTAGACATATGACTTCCATAAAAGTAGACAGACAAACTTGTCAACCACTTTCCGTTTTATCAAAACTGAAACCGTTCAGTTTAATGAGACACTTTCCTCATTTCAAGCTTAGATTGTAAACGTATGACTACATGTAACTAAAATGGAATTACTTCAATTCGACATGATTGCTGGTAATATCTGTAAATGTATATTTGAAAGAATATTATAGTGTTATATTATGATACAAACTATTAACCCTTCACGTTATTGTAACCAACATTGTACAACTATAAACTGTTATTAATTTCATAAATCCAACATACATGACTCACTTTCATTTTATTTAGTAGTATATAAAAATAAACTTTAAAATGAATAAATCTGTTGCATTTTCTTATATTGTCTACTCTTAAATTATATATAGCTTGATAATATGGATGAACAAGCGTCTCAAATCAAAAGAGAACTATCAGAACGTTTAATACAAATTGACAAAATGTATAAAGTGAGTGGTTAAAGTTACATAAATAACTGCTTTTTAGTTATCAGAATGAGGGTCTGTGGAGATCTTATTAACTTTAATAGTTGAATTCATGAGTCGATCTATTATACACCGACGTCGAAAACCTGGAAGCACTGGACAACCGTTTCGTCACAGTATGGAACGACTCAGCTGTGCGCATACACGGTCCAGCACGTGGGACTCGAACCAAGGACCTTCAGTCTCGCGCTCCAACGCTTAAACCCTAGACCACTGAGCCGGCACCCAAAGGCCTTAATATCTAACGCATGTGCTCACTAGTGACTAGCTTCAAGACAGATTTTGTGGAGTTCTAGTGAGAAGCTGCGACTAGTGAAGTCCAATCCGTGTCATGTGGAGACAATTATCCATTTCGGACAATAGGTGAAGAGTTGTGCAAGATCATGGATTGACTGAACTTATACATTAACACCGCTAAGTGCCAGCTCAGTATTATTTGATTGTTTTTTAATGCACTTAGTAAATTGTAAATTATTCGTGATGTTTATTAAATTTCATTTCATTTTGTTAGTTATAAATGAAAATGTATAAATTTTCTCGTGAGAAAGTAATATGTAATATAGGTAGAAACCAGTTCATGTATTAGGAAGGGGTCACTGACATTCTGAATAAGTTCTTCATAGTTATCAAATAAAACACTGATTACGATCATTATATTGGTTGTAAGATGAATGTGGGAACATTTCTTTATTTTGGGAAAGCTAGCACCAGCAATGATAAGAAAAATCTAAACTTTACTGAAATTCAAGATAATTACGTAGCATTAGTCAGTATTACACCTGTGTTGGAATTTCACAATACGTCAACAGGATAGTGGTATAATTTGTGATTATATTCTGCATAAATATAAAAATGAACTCTATTAACTGATAGAAATCTATCTTGATTGAATTTCTTTCAATGTACCATGTGTTCGACTAAGTATTATTTATGTTCGTTTATTTGTTTATTGTACGATCTTCACCTGATTCATTTCTTCACAGTATGATTGTTACATTTATGTTTCACCTGATATTATATTATCATACATGTCTTTAAGTTATATAGAAGCTTAAGTTGAGACTTCCATATATTCAGCATTAGAATATACCTTGTTCTTCACATTCTTCTACATTTTACCAACTGATATTTAAAGAAATTTCGGATTATATATTTCAAAATAAATATCAATAGAGTGTTGTAACCAATCTCTGAAGAAAACACAATAATAGCTTGATAGAACTATTTATTATTCACATTAAAAATACACTCTATTTTTTTCCTGTGATTAGTTTTGTGTGCTGTGGTGTATAAAAGTTTACTAACTTAGTTTGTTTGATTGATAAAGGAACGTTCATTTCCTAAAATGGTACATAAAGAAATGGAGATGCAGTATATTGAAGAAGAAAAACTCAGAGTGAATGGATTAATGAGACGTCTAGATTCGATACCAGCTCTTAAAACACATTCCACAGGTGTGAATCCAGCTCATAGACATTTAAGAAAACACCCTATAAAAACAATTTTATCTAATTGGCACACTGGTGGGACAAGTAGAAGCAACAGATCTGTACGTGATACTGGTTCCGTAACTGATCTTTGGTCACGACAACTGGAGATGGATTCATCAAGATCATCTTTATCAATTACAGATGATTTACATTTAATGAGTGAAGGTATTCAGCCCTCTTCAATGTTTCTAACTCATGAAATTTCAAGGGAGGCTATGCAGGTTTCTTCAACAATTGAAGTAAGTAATATGGTATATTTATACATTATTCGTTTAAAGCCATCCACGTGTTGTTGTACCTTCTGCTGTGGTTCTATCGCTTTTCTTCAGGAAAACTTTGAGTGGATACAAATAGTTCACCACCAAACGAATGTTAAATTATCCAAGATATAGTATTATGTGAATAAAGTTACTACGCAAAAATACTTTACTCTCTATTGGCTTAAGATAATTTTCCTTATTACTTGAAGCTGCCTCTTCTTAGAAATGATGTATATGTAAGGTGGATTTCTTAGAAATGATCATAATTTATGGATCAAATTACACTAAAATCACTAGTTACTCAATAAAACCCTGATTAATTCAACTGATGGCTATTAATAAATTATTAAAACTTATTTAAGAATAATTTATTTAATGATCCTACAGTTTTCGAAATTTACACATATTATAACGACCGTTGGATTCGATCCATTGGATACGTATCAGTGTGGAGTTGTGGAGATTAAGTTTTTGATTGAAATCATGAATCAATGAATGTTAGACGACTGTTGAAAACCTAGAGGGACTGGAAGGCCGTGTCGTTCTAGTGTGAAACTCCTCAGCAGTGGACATCCACAATCTCACGGGGGATTCAAACTCAGGACCATCGTACATGGACGTACTATCCAACCACTAGAAATAAAGTTCACTAGCCTTTCATCTATGACTCCTAGTTTGCATAATCTAACTAATGGAGTCTTTGAAGTTTTTACAATGATTTAAAATTTTTAATTTCATGATAAAGTGATGTTATTTTAATGTTATTCATTTATCCAACCCAAAGATATTTCCTTCCGAATTCTTTATATTCACGTTTAGATATTGGTTCATCAAGTCAGAAATATTCAAAGTTTACCACGTTCAAAGAAACTTTATTGTGCTATAGAACTGGATAGTACACCAGATCGGAAGAGAACAGAATCCGTAGAGGTTAATAAACCTGTGTAAGTAAATAATAAGTGTTTATCTTTTCTAACAGATAACAATTATTTAAAACTGTGTGTATATATAAAATTATTATGAACTACACATTATTGAAACTTAACAAATTGACTTAGTTAACAGCAACTTCTCAAGTTAGTATCTTTGATTATTTGGACTTTTCATTGAATGAAATCAACATTTTTTCAATATACTCAGAGCTTGTGCCATGTAAAATATTAGCTTTGGGATGAGTGTTTGCATAACTTTTGAAGACTATCAGTTTAAAGATGACCTAAATGTATATTTGGGTGATATCCCATCGATGGTGTTAACAACAAAAATTTTTTAAACTTGATTACTGTTTACATTTAAATGTTTAAGAGGTCATATGAATCTCTATGTCCCTAAAACTTCAGTCAGAATATCGGAAAGCAAGATAAGCAATCACATTCATAAATTAAGGGCTAAAAGTCAAACGATAACGAAAAAAAATGAGTGAGACTAATGAAGAAATGCTAATTACTACAATTATTTATTATCAATCGGTTCATGATCTCAATCAAAATCTTAACAATCTCCACAACTCCTATACTAGTAATCAACATGTGCTCACTAGTGACTAGCTTCGTGAGGGAATTCTCGGAGTTCTAGTGAGAAGCCGTGACCAGTGGAGCTAATCCTTGTCGGGTAGAGACAGGTATCTACCTCAGTACAACGGAAGTTGGTCGCGCAATTTCGTGAATTGGTTGATGTTAGAAACTATCACCATTGGATGCCGGCCCAGTGGTCCAGTTGGTTAAGCGTTCGCGCGCGAGACCGAAGACCCTGGGTTCGAATCCCGCGAACGGGATTGTGGATGCGCGCTGCTGAGGAGTCCCAGTGCTTCCAGGTTTTCAATTGTGGTAGTCTAACATCAATCGGTCCATGATCTCAATCAAAAACTTAACAATCTCCACAACCCCTATACTAGTAATTATTTATGAGTTTGATGGCTTAAAGACTCAACCATTTACTATGAATTATTTGAACTGCAAACAAGAAAGCCTATATCACAGCTTATACAAATGTTCAGTAACTGTATGAACTGTTATTATGTTTAGTTCTGACTATCACTAACCGTTTTCTCGATCTACTACTTCAATAAACAATGTGACATAGAGGGTAAGAGGCGGTGAATGTTGAAGAGAATTCGATCGATCATGATTTACCGCACAACGTTTTATCCATCTACAAGATTCAGCAGAAATGAAACAAAGATCAAACGGATTCTTATACACCTGTTCTGAAATTACTAAATATATACAAAACCAGCGTTACTATTAATGGATTATTGTCAGTATAAAATGGTAATTATAACCAAACTTAACAATCTGTAACTTAGACAGATATTTCAACTTATGGATCTACTAAAACAGTGTTTTTTTTTTAAAATATTGAACTGAATTATCAAAGCATGAAGTAAGTGTTTATTCCTTTTGCTTTTATTAAACTATTTTAGATGGAATACAACTGCAGAATTTCAAACATCTCAAATTCTTCCAGTTATCAAAGTAAAGGTTTTCAAAGAATGTTCAGGGCCATTAACACTGGATGATAAAGAACTTGGAAGGGTATATGTATTATAATGTCAGAAATATTTATGATTATTTAGATGACTCAGGTTCATTCATTAATTATTATTACCTCAACTCTAAACATGATTTAATTTTCTCAAGATCGTTTGTAAACATGCAAGAATAGTAGATCGGTTCTAACAAGCATCATTGGTTACTAAACAATTCAGGAAAATTTAGAGATGAATAAATCAAGCGCTTAATAAAAAATAACATTTTGTGTAACATAACAGACTATTTCGTTATGTTATACTTCATTGTAGACTAATCTTAGCTAAAAAAGAACCTTTGCAAATAAGGCAGTATCGGACAGTCGTTACGTTTTATATCGTAAAACCGCAACAGAATACACGTTGGAGACCTGATATACGTTTAAACCTGTTACTGATGTATACAAAATTAAGACAAAACGCGATGTTTGGTTTTCTTTGATTCCCCAGCCCAGTCAGTCATCATCAACGTAGAGCTTTGTACCAATATGCGTGGGCCTACGTTAACATAATATGTTAGCACGACGAGATGAAAGTAACAAGATATTCAACAAAAGAGATCTGAATAACGTAGTAGAAATGATAATGAAAATGATTGAGCATTGAGAATAGTGTTTAGAAAGACAGATTTGAAAGGCAAGTTTTAAAAAAATACTGGGATTCAACATCGATAGGAAAATAATAGAGGATACAAATGCGTGATTTTAAATGATTCTAAGCCATGTCATCTAAAGTCTCTAGATATTGATCGAGATTAATATGCGGACAAAAAGCAGGTAGTCTGCAACAACCAACATGGCTCATTAAAACAATTAATGACTTCTTCCGATCTGTTCTTACATTAGTCAGTATCGTCTCTAAAGGTAAATATCGGCTAAACATACGTAAAGTATGTCCAGCTGATGTGAATTCATGATAAAAACTGACCTTACAAAGAAGTGTTCTTCATAAAATCTAATATGAACATAATTAATGGCTTGTAGTTGTTCCTCTTACCATATGTTACTTGTTTAATTGAACAATTTTTCTTACGACTACAGTTTTCTTTAACAATTTGTCGATATAATGGTTGATGTTATCCATGTTGTACTAATACAATTCAATTTAAATATAAAACCACAGGTAACTTTTAGTATAACTTGGTCAAGTCCACGCACCCCACTTTGGTATAAATTGCAAAATACAAAACATTGTCATGATCCTGTTGAAATACAAATTTCAGTGTCTATGCAACGCCCAACTAATTGTAAATATAGTAATTATTGTTGGATTCAAGGTCGTTCCACATTTAAAAAATGGAAACGACGTTATGTTTGTATCATACAAGTGAGTTACATTGGTTACTTGTACTACATTTTCCATTGTAACAAATCCTAGTTTAAAGATGAAATAAGTATTTGTTGGGGATGTTAGATCCCCAAAACTCACTTGGTAAATACTTTAATTTTGTAATTTTATTTTGAAAATTTAAATTTCTTTGTTTTCGCGCAAAAAATCCTCTTTTCACCTTCATATCGTATTTCCCAGTTGGGAGAAACTTTAGCGGTAATGGTCCGTTGTATATTTTAGTATGCTATTTTGTAACGCTTCCCAAGGAAAGTTTTATGCTGTGTATGTACTTTTGATTTGTGTCTATTGTTGTCGCTCGTACTTCTGGATACTTGCGGAATATACTTCCCCGTTCCAAACTTCGACTTCTCTCTCTAGTTAGCTGCGCTGGGACGCATCAGAATATCTAGCTTATCGGTCATTGGTCACAGAGTCTTTGTTTCGTCCGCAGACTAGGTGAGCTTGTAATCGCTTCAAACATAGCAATATTAACAAAAGAAATGAAGTAACGAATATGGAAAAATCCATCCGGCATACTGGTAAAACAGTTTTAAGGCAGTTATACTAATGTTAGTCGTGATACTAGCGTTCAACGTTGCAGACTGTTACATAACACCATCACACCAAAAGTAGACTATTAAAACAAGCAGAAAGAGTAGATGTGATCTTAATTTCTGTGATAGTAAAAGTGAAACACAGAGAAAATGACTGTTAAAGAAGGCATGAAGATAGAAAGTATGAAACCATACTAAAGCCTAATTTACATAAAAGACAAAGCATGAATTCCTCTAAACTTCTACTGTTCTTTCTACATTCTCCTATGTCTCTGAAAAATGAGCCATCAAGTTACAAGATATATATAAGCTGCGTGTAAGTTAGGTATAAGGAACTAAACAATGATGGAGAACAGGTTGATGAGGTAGTGAATACTCATCGATCGAGGTGGCTGAGATATGTTAAGTATGCTGAAATATTTCTTACTTAGATATGCAATGTTGATTGGGGTAGGAATAAGTTTGAAGAAAACTAGGCACGGGACCATTTTAAAAAGTCATTAATTGTTCGAATCAGCCATGTTGATAAGTTCAAAATACATGACTGAGTTCCAGAGTATCGCGTAAATTCTTTAACTATCGATAACGGTTAATCAGAGGACCTCGACCGAAACATTTTGCACATCATCATCATAGACTGAACATCTCCAAAGAAAAATTATAGAAAACTAATTACTAACTGATTATTACTGAAATATGACTGGATAGATTTACTGACCAATAGAGTTATGATATATACTTGTGAGTTATTTTGTGTCATACAAATTTAGAAAAATAACTTTTTCTATCATTTCACAGAATACAATTGCCTGTCCCATGATCATGATATACTTTTCCAGACTTTACATGTATGCCCTTAAAAAGAATCTCGGAATAACTAAACTAAGCATACTACCTTATACCTTGCACAAGTTGCCTTAATACTAGTAACTACTTATGCTTCGTCTTATTAACAGACAGTAATTAAAAATAACTGCCTGCCATATTTAGTAAGACTAATCTAGCTAACTCGTATTATTTGGGACGATAAACAGCAATGATGAATGAAAATTAAATCATGAAAACTAATGATTTTTTTCCTAATGGTATGAGAATACACATCTTTTGTTCTATCAACCCAATTATTGGTAATATATGTAGATATATATGAGCTGTTACTTAACAGTAGATATCTGTTTAAATGTATATGGTAGAGATTTATGTCATGACTGATAATGATGTATATTGATGTCTCATTTTTAGATCATACCTAAAGTATTAAATAAACAAATATATTTATAAAGAGTTTTGTAATCAACATAATTATGATTAGATTTGATTGGCATCATGTACATTGGATATTAAATTCGATAAATTATTGTTCTCATTCATTCTAACTGCTATTTTTAATGACAGTAGTATAATAGTTTTAAATGTATAATTGCTTGGTTTGATGATTGATTCGAATGTTGAAAAGAAATAAACGATACTGTAAAAGAATGTGTATCTCTCTTTATAGTTTTGAATATATGTATATAATATAATTGAGTGTTCTATCATACTAGATAATAAGAACATATTGACATTGGCGTTACACATGACTTAGGATTGTGAAGATCTATTAGTGGGTAAAACCATGACTTAACAAATGTTTTTTAAGTAAATAGAAATTTCGGCGAGACTCTAATTTATGGACGAGCCAATCAGAGGCGTTTTCGAGGTTTCAAGTTTACGGCGTCAACTTCAGTGCTTAATGCTAACGTACGATTGGTTCACAGGGAATTTTGTACAAAACGTGATAATTGAGCGGCTATAACAAATAAAACGGCGAGACTATGATTTGTGAACGAATCAATCAGGTATAAGATAATAGATCTCAGATTTTAACGCGAAAGCCTTTCATTCATTTGGCTAAATAAATTTCTGGTATTATAGCTGATGTCAGTTCGTGATGATAACCCCATATATAATTCATAACTACGGTAAATTACGACAATTATTGCGAACTGGATAATAAAAGTACCAGTAACACTTGCTGCAGTCAGGTACTACAATATATACGGATGTTTGGAGAGTGTACAGACTCCTACATAGGCTTGGTTATATGCATCGTGTCGTTATCCGAAAGGAGCATTTTGTGCACTCAACAACCGGAGTGCACATAAACAATATTGAAGCTATGTGGTCGAGGCTGAAAGAGTTTTTGAGACTTTATCATGGCTCCAGAGGCCGACTATTCTGTAGACATATGGAAGATTTCCTCTACTGCATGCATTAAGATTTTAGAACTTGTGAACCTCTTTTTAACGTTAAAAAGTTTTTGAACCACGTATAAGAAGTGTATCCACTTTATTTCCATGGTTTTGTATGACATATTTTTATCCTATACTAACTGTGTGCTGATTGGTTAATATTTCTCAAGGTTATTTAAGATTCGTTCAAAGGTCGTCCATAAATTAGAGTCTCGCCGAAATTTCAAATAGAGAAATGAGTTCAAGATTCATGCTGACTGGTTCAACAGATGAAAAAATTGTCCAATAAGATTATTTACAGCATATAGTAGTATAGATTAAAGATGAATAGCCTAAAATGTTGATTTCTAATTTGGATAATTCGTGTAACGGAATAGTGCAAAATGCCTATAGATTAATAAAAAAAACATTGATTTTTTTCTTTATAAAAATAAAATTTTATTAATTTTCAAATCTAATTTTTATTCACAATTTTTTTTTATTCATAAAATTACTTTTCCACTTTATGAAACATTCAAGATATCACAATACACATCAATATTGGCAGCATTTGCTGAACAGAAATCTCAACCATCAGAATCAGTTGTATTAGATGGATTTACTGTAGACTATTGTGAACCAAGAACAGGTAACAGAAAAAAACCCATTTTTTTGTGTGAATTTTATTCATTTTACAATTTTATAATAATAATAAACTGTAGTCAATGAATTTGTTGTCTTTTCGAAGTAAATTTTCACAAGAATAAGACATTGTTAAGTAATGTAATGTCTAGTAGGTTTAGGCACAACTTGAAGGTAAGTTCAATGATAGAATAGCGTTCAGATAAACATTTACGAGCAGTCTAGAAGAGTCACAATTGATTGATCATTGGGTGGTGATCAATGTCATGTGTGTCAAGTCCTTATTGCAACATGATCGATAGCATTTGATCTGCACTAAATAAGAACTTGACACATATAAAGTTGATCACCACCCAGTGATCAATCAATTGTCATTACATCTCAGTCCTATAGGAGGTCGGTCGCGGCTCGGATAGCTCAGTGGTAACGTCTCTGACTGTTAAGCTGGGTGACACGGGATCGAATCCGTCAGGGAGTACCAGTTCCCTCACGATTACAGGTACACCCTGCTGACGAGTGCAAGGTAGCACGAAACTCCGGTCCAGGGTTTCCTGTAGACTATCTCCAACCACCATCTAGTCTAGCAGAGTGAACAGTAACAAAAAAGTTTGTTTATGATTCAGTGAACATAATGGTTGTACGAGTATTTAGTAATGAAGACGATTTACAATAATTAGTGTTATATCTAGAAGGTTGTTCTTGATATATGGCGTATAACGTGAGCACTAGAACGACAAAATCTTTCCTAGTCGCAATGAAAAGACAGAAGACTAATGAAAGGAATAGTATTCCCAGACAGTGTCAATTATAGTACAAAATTGTCAGGTATTTATAGTTTTCAGTAAGACCAAAATCATCATTACAGCCCACGAATCAGTATACAGGGGGCTATTAGCATTGTACAATCGGGAAGCTACACGGGGGAATTCTAGAACATTCTTCTAAAAGGTGATTGGACGAAACATTTTCGGATCCTTCTGAGCCTCCTACAGCTTCCTCGAATTCACCCGTGGTTCGTTGTCACAATTAGCAGTGACACGAATTTAAGATCTGATATTTAATATTAGCTGTTGATAGCTTGAGATTTCAGCTGTGTCATAGCTTCAGTAATTAATTATCAAGAGGAGTTCAGTTTGAATAAAACTTTCTACTTTAGTTCTTGTATTCCGATTTCCTTCAACCATACATATCACTAAGACGCTAATAAGCTTAACCCTGGTCAACCAAACTCATATATATATATATATATATATATATATATATATATATATATATCAGATAAACTGATTCGATTATAAACAGTTTAGTTTTTATGATTCTTGACGAATCATCTTTGGTGTTATCATGAAATTACACTCATTCAGTTATGTGTATGAATTCAAGTTTGCTACACGACATCAGCACAAGACTGAATTACAAAGATAAATGCTTTAGGAGTCGAAGTCGTAACAGCATCAGTTGTAATAAAACATGATTCATCAACAAAGGGTGAATTTGTCGAACAAAATATATGTATATTTTTTAAGCTACACATCTAAAGATGAACAAAGAGTGAATCCATTTGGACCACAATGACTGATTCTAAGTCATATCACTCAACTTCTACTAATGATTGAATTTATTTCGTAAACCTCAACTAGATTGTTTGCACCGAACAACATGAATCTACCTTACAGTCAGTAACTTCATTACCTGATACCATATTTTATTCTGATTTCAGGAAACTATATGAAATTAGAATTTTCTCAACTAAAAATATAGTTTTATAAGTAAAGATGGATAGAAGCTAGTAGTGGAATCCAGGAGGCGCGTTTCGTCCTGTTCGGGACACATCAGCTAGTTGTACCTGCATCTGAGTTGATGTTCACTCCGGGACTCGAACCCAGTAACACTCGCTTCAAACGCCATCATGTTATCCACTCAGCTACTAAGTTCTGATAGCCACCTGCTTGTGCAATGGGGTGAAATTATATTCACTTAGTGTTGTTTACTTGTATCTTCCCATTGTTATTTAGTACTGCAATTTATCAGTCTCCTCTTAAAAATGTAGTTGTATATAACAAAAAGAATTCTGTTTACACACGATAGCTACTTTATTGTATCATGAGTTATTATCCATTTAAGTTTATTCATTTGAAATAGATGTTTATTAAAGAGAAACAACCAAATATTACACGCTACAAATGGTGTGAAGTATAACATCTGTTTTGTTGATTTACATTTAGCAGAAGTATTTTTATACTTTGTTGGTAGGAAGACGATGGTTAAGCTATGTATTCATTAAACAGGCAATATGATGATCAATGTTCTTTTACAACCACAAAATGAGTTCACATATAATTCATCTTTACAGTTTGTATGTTATATTTAATAAAGGATAATTAAGCGGCTAGTTCGTATTAAAACCTGTTAAGTCCCAGAAGCTAGTTATTCAGTATAGTAACAGGCTAGAAGATAGTTAGGGGCGGCCAAACCAAACATTGAACTAGTTCATGAAGTCATTGACCATTGGACTGAGCTATGTTAACATGTGTAAACTATCTGGTTGATATCCATATGATTGTTGAAACCAGTTGTTCAATACTTAAAATGAAATGGCTCTACATCGTTTGTAATGGAGCAGATGTATTCATTAATTGTCTTCTCTCAGATTCCAAATATCTGAATTCCTCATATTTTTTTTATTTCAGAAATTTGTATTTGTTTGAATCTTATATTTGATGCCTAATCTTTTATATGAACACTAATACTGTTACTACCCCTACTATTCTGGAATGTGCTATAACAATTTCATATCGCTGTGTTAATTGGGTGTGAAAACCAAGTTCTATGTTGTTACTTACTTACTGATTGATTCATATCTTAAATGGCATTTCTTCATGACACATTATACTAAACTTTAACATTGAAATTAATCATCAGAATTGTTTCATCATTACTGCAACATGAATTACGAGATCAAAGCAATATCTGCATTTTATCCCGAAATATTTGTATTATACATCCAACTTGTGTTTTTTGTTTCATTTGTACTCAATTTTCGTCTGAGCTGTCGAATAAAAACATGCACACTACATAGAGCTGATGTGTTTCGAATGTTACAAACAGAATAGAATAAAAAATATTGCTTATGAACTGATTTGTCAGTAACGTATTTATAGCTTTCAGTGAATACTGTAGATATATTATTTCCCTACAATTATATGAAGCGATAAGTGATTGGTTAATTATTCAGTGTGTAAAAGAGATATTAATTAAAAGTTAGCCAAGAAGTTTTGAGACATGAGTTTCACAGTAAACCCATTATACAGCAATTATCTAGGGTCTTCATTTATTATTACCTTTCTCCTAGCTACTTCAGAATTATATCATGTATAACTGTAACTTATCTATTTATATTATCCACTGAATACATTCATAGACATTATATTCTCGTTTATTTTTGTTAACGACAGATTTGATGAATATGGCTGCGTTTGGCAGAAACAATAAACCTGAACACCATGGATCAACCACATCTTTAACATCCTTATCAAGGTTAAGACTCAGTACATTGGGACGAATAACAAGTCAACGGCATGTAGGCAGTAATCCTCTCGGTGGATTGGAATGTGATTATTCGCCAAGGTTTTTCTTCAAACTTGTCCGAGAAGGTGACACAATAATTATAGCATCTTCTGCTGAAGTAGATCGTCAGAATTGGATACAAGCTCTTTATCGAGCGACCGGTCAGACACACAAACCTACATTACCAGGAGCATCAAATGTCTCAGCCATAATCAGTGATCAAAAGAAAAGTAAGCCAAGTTCATTAACGTGTATCATCACATTGATTCAGTTAGATGGAACATTTGTATAACTTATGAATACTTTTATGAATTTATTGAAAGATTACCAAAACTGGTCACTATTAAAATAATGGAGAAGAGTAATAGTTTGAACAGATACTGTTGGCTGAGTGTTTTATGAACTAGATGATTTAAATTATGGATGCATTGCTTTTGTCTTTAGCAGCGTTAATACCTACATTCAGATAATTTTTAGAAGCATAGTAATCAATTGAGTTCACAATTTATAAACACGTTAACATAGATCCTATCTATTAATCCATATAGAAAAGACCAGTCAATCACAAAAAAACGACTTAAAAATGACCTATATATACTAAAAACTCCAGACAAGACTATCAGAATAAGCTGCTATAGCATTTCTAGAACGTCTGAGGTGTTACCTTTGTCTTATTCTCACTAGCTACCATTTTAGATGACTAGGCCTCGGATGTACAGACCCTTGATGTGAGGTGGTCATAGTTTATTAGGAAAACTCAAAAGATCTAGATATCGTGGGAAATAGCACTATTTTCAAAAGTGTGTCCTCAATCTCGGGATAACTGAATAACTGATTAGAATTTGAACTTACTTCACACTTGCTTAATAACACAAAAATCGAGATTTGAGATTTCATCTCTATTGCTTCTAACCTCGCACCGTAAAATGATGGACCATATTTTTAAGTCACTTAGACTATTAAGTACATTGTCAATTAATCAGTAGATTTTTATTGGGTCTATAATCTAGACAACATTAAACTAACTAATAATTAATAGTGGATAAAGTCAACTATGAAAATGTTTGAAAACACTTAATTGTAATCACAATTGATTGATCATTAGGTGGTGATCAATGTCATGCGTGTCTAGTCCTTATTAGTGCGGATCGAATGCTATGTGGTCACCAGCCTAGGTGACTCGACACTGCTACTGCTACACACATGACATTGATCACCACCCAGTGATCAATCAATTGTCATTACATCTCAGTCCTATAGGAGGTCGATCGTGGCTCGGATAGCTCAGTGGTAACGTCTCTGACTGTTAAGCTGGGTGATACGAGATCGAATCCCTCAGGGAGCACCAGTTTCCTCAAGATGACAGGTTCACCTTGCTGACGAGTGCGAGGTAGCACGAAACCTCGGTCCAGGGTTTCCTGTAGACTACCTCCAACCACCATCTAACATTTAATTGTTTCCTAACTAAATAATCATTTAGATTTGTCAATTAACATTTGATTTCTTACATAATGCCATTCTTCAACATTTTCATTTTCAACAAAAAGGTACTGTTGATATTGAAACTGGTCAAAATAAAACAATTGATCGATTCGCTTCAATACCTATACATACCCTTGATCACTTGGAATATTTCATTATTTTACAATCATCGAGTTTAGATTATCGGTTAACTGTAAGTATTTTTTTAAAATGAAACTGAAACACATTTCACGAGATTACAATATAGTATAAATCTATTTGTAATTAATTACATTTTATAAGAGGAGATTAAATGGTAGCTAGTAATGAAATCTAGGAAATGTGTTTCTTCCCATATGAAACTCGTCAGCTGGATGCATTTGGATTTCACTGCTAGCTATCATCTATCGATTTCTGCTCATCATACTTGTGATTTAAAATAATATCGAACCGATTCTCACAGGATGCACATATACCAATAAGAGATTGAACAATTGCACTCTTTAACATCAATAGGAAGATTCAAACAACCAATACAAAAATGTATTTATATTTTATTCTAAATTTATTGTTGTATCCTGTGGAGATGATGATTATTAGTAATTTTTTGAAAGGAACCAATGATGATGCCTCTAACAAACTTTACTGTTTCAGTGTTATTTGGTAGATCTTCCAACTAAATAATTCATATTACATAAAATCCGATTAATTATTAAACATTATTTTAATGTTGAATCTAATTATCTTGGTCAAAGTATGGAACCAAGTAACTCAACTGATAGAGATAATAAGTAATGTAATAACTGGTTATATTGTATATTTTCACATTTATTGTATACTTTTGACTAAAAGGAAATTAATGACATAAACTTAGGTAAGCTTATATTCTGGAATAGCTCAAACTAAGTAGGTATTTGTACTGCATAATGTTAACTGAGGCTTTTTGATCCAATGATTCTTCTTTCTATACATCTGAAAGAAATTTTCTGAATAAACGTTCTGTATCAATAGTTTATTAAATTTAAAAGTTTAAAATCATGTTGGATAGTGACGGAAATTTAACCTAAACCTAATAACACTGTCTCCACTAAGATAATGATGTATTGCTAATTGTTGGCACTTCTAGGTAAACTCACTTGTTTTCAATCTAGATTCCAGAGTTTTACCCACTACTAACAGATGGACAGTATTTTACAAACTTCAGTGAATATAGAATGTAGATTTAGTGATTTCACTGGTTGAAATCATGAGTCACTTGAATCTTGACCACCATGGAAAACCTGGAAGCACTGAAAGGCTGTCTCGTCATAGTATGGGGCTCCCCAGCAGTGCGCACCCACGACCCCTCTCCCCGGGAGATTCAAACCCAGGATCTATCAGTCTCGCGCGCGAGCGCTTAACCACGAAACGGCTGTCCAGTGTTTCCAGGTTTTCCATGGTGGTCCAGCTTTAGTTGACTCATGATTTTAAACAGTGAAATTTCTGAAATCTCCACAAAACCCCTTGCTGGTAGATTTAGTGCTTTACAGAGACTGATTCCAACATCTCGTCAGTGACTTCACTTTGGTTTCATTCACAGAAGATTTAAGTGACACTTTGATATATGAATTACGTTTAATCTTATGCAATCATAACTTATTAAATTGACCAGTAAAAAGAGGGAATTTCGGCAAAACACATGTAGAAAACCAAATCCAAATGATGTAAACACATGAATAAGAAGGAGAACAAAACGACATATGAAGATAAGAAGAATGATGTGCTAATCATGGAAACATAAAGTTAAATCAAGTAAATACAGTTTAACTGCAGTTATAAATGAAGTGGTTACTTTTAAAATAACACCTTCACATATGCTTCAACGTCGAAAACTCAACAATATTGTATGTCATATTTAAAAACCTGGGAAACTACTTTATGTTTTCATGATCAGCTTATAATAATCATGTACAGTTTGATTGAACTAACATTAGAATAGATAATTTCTTTTCATTAATTATTCAAATACCATACAGGATATCCTCGTTAATGTGTGTATTGTTCATTTTTATTTAGAATTACATATACTGTCTTTAGTAATCATCAGTACAATAGTCAGTTAATGAATGAATTAGAATTTTCTACTAGAAGATGTACTTTCTTCTTTAAATACAATGACAATGACATAATATTAAAAATATTAAAACAACTAATATATACCTGAAATGTTACACTATAGTGATTGAATCTATTCTATTATTCCTACTAATATTAACATAAAATGTTTAGCTATGAATACTTTGTTAAATGATAGAGAACAATTAGAACAAAATATGTATGCTGCTTTTTATATTAAGCTATGCTAGTTGAATCGTTGGGAGGTCTACATTGTTGTTTTGAATAAAGTTACAAAGTCATTTTAAACAGACGCGAAGCTTTTAAAAATTATTCCATAAACGCAAAATTATATTGTTCTAATAATTTTGTCTATGATCAGTTGCCTAAGTAAGCTTTGATGGCTTCATGTTTCAAGAAAGTCTATCGTTGAATTTCATGGTCTACATCACGAATGGATCTTGGTAAGATAACCACTGAAAACTAGGATGATGATCATGCAATAACGTGAACTGATTTTTGTCAGAAGTGTAAACTATTAGATCCTAGTTTAGTGATATAAATGTTAAACTTTCACCGAATATAAAGTTCTGATGATGTTGTTCAGAAGAAAGATGAAAGCTCCACGACTAAACCATCCAGCTCAGAGGAAAAAACTTCATCAATATCATCCACCTGAGATACATATCTTCACCAACTCACCGAGTAACTTGAAGGCACTGGTTTGGATCTCTGATTGGGTCATGGGTGTTTACTACTGAAGAGCCTCATTCTAGTATAGAAGATTGCCCAATCACTTCCTGGTTTTCAATAGCTGTTTAATTAGGATCAGTCCGTGATGTGAATAGTAAAACCCAACTACTTTCACAACACCCTATAAAAAGTGCATTGTTTTAGTGATTTACTTACACAATAACGTACTCACAAATATAATTATAATCCATTTCTTCTTTGTCATTTGTTTTCTAAGGATCCATTTGTTTCACTTGGCTGTTTAAGTCCAACTCAACGATATTTATTAGATGAATATTGTACACGTTATGGTATACGTGAATGTCAACGTCACTTAGCAATGTTAATTAATTTATTAAATAAAATTGAAAATGGTATGAGTATAGATCCAGATTTAATTCATATCAGTTATTCCTTATGTGCTAACCATGTTAGCGGTAAAGCGTAAGTTAATCCTATGGTTGTTTTTGTACACTTTGTCAGAGTTAGAGAATGAATTTAACATATAGATTTAGGACAAGCGTTTTCACAGTTTATTTCAGTGACAGTTTATATTTATGTTGCCTGAAAATTAGCGATTCATGTAAACTACTAACACTCCGGAAGTATGAGAGCCATCATCCATTTTATTCGAAATGACATTAACCTTTCAATGGGATTTAGTATTGATGAAAACCCTCATCATAGCCAACCAAATGGAATCAAGATTTTCATGCAGTTAGACTAAATGGTATCTTGTTTGTACCGATATCCTAAAGTTTTAGGTTCGATATCTAGTATACTTGTGCGACAAAGCTACTATACGTTTCCAAGCTGAGAAGAAAGTATATATGTTATTGTTTCCTCATGTTTCGGTCTAAATTTATGGGTGCTTAGTTAAGCCGAATAACTATTTCACAGATGATTCGGACTTATACACAGTATGATTTTTCGTGATCAGTTTATTTCTACCTGACAGTAATTTATTGAAACATTTCTTCCCTTCAGTCAGCGAAGTTTTCCAACTTCTGTGGACTTTTGGAAAATAGATATACCATCCAGTCTCTTTTCTTACATTTCACAGCTGCATACCAAATTAATAAAAAGCTGATTTTTCGATGCCGATAAAATTGATGATATATTTGGCGAGATTATATGTTATGGGCGAACTAATGGAATTAAAGATAGCACGTTTTAGATTTCGGTGCAAACCTTCATTTCTTTCATATGATTAGATAGCATTTTGGTAGTATAGTTGTTGTTAGTTCTTGATGATAACCCTGACTTCAATTCTTAGCCCTAACTTCTAACTCTAAATTCTAACCCTACTTCCTTACGCTAGTCTATAACTTTCTTTTAACCCTAACTAGAAGGTGGATATTTCTCAAGGTCACTTTATCGTCATTCAAAGATCGTCCATAAATTATAGTCTCACCTATTTTTGTCGTTTTAAAGTTTAAGAGTTTTGGCTTTTACCGTTATATAATTTCTTGAGTACTGAAATCCTTCTATTGGTAAAAATCCAAGTTTTGTTTTGATTAACTCTCGAGGATCAAATGATGGTGGATTATTTACTCTTCGAGGATATTCACCTTTCACATAAATGCAGTAATACTGCAAACGATGGATTTTTGTTCAAAAAAATTCTTATTGTTTGTTTACACATTTGTCGGTACAAATCGATAGTAAAATGTAACATCTAAATGTAAGGAAAATAATTTTCCTACAGTATGCAGAATATGAGTTTAGGAATTTGACTGACAACATTTGACAGCATTTCTAAATGTTGAACTGACTGATATCCAATGTATTAATTAATCCTATCACATATTGATAGGTAGTGCGAGATTAATAACCAAAGCAATGTTAGATACTGTAATATTGTAAAAGAAGGCTATTGCCAGAAGGAATCTATATTTATCGTGGGAAGTTACAAAGCGTCCACATAACATTCAATCATTCATTTGGATCTCTTCGTCTGCTCTCCAGGTGTTCTGTCTTCGTTGTGCCTTCGATGTATTAAAACTCTTCACTCCGTATGACAACTGTTGGAACTTCGACACAACGCGCCGTTACATTCTACTAACAAACAATCTTGTGAATAGTGTCTACCATAATATAATTGATCCGTACATCAAGCTTTTGCTTGGAGGTCATTTAATGACTTACCCAAGAACTAAACAATGAATGGATATATATATTGCAAAACGCTGCTCGTTTAATTTCATACCTGAATCACTCTCCTCTTAGTCCCATGCAAAGTATACGTATCTTTTAAAAATACATTGACCATAAGTGTTAAGCATCCTAGTAATTACTTATAATTACTCAACTTTGAAATTATAGCATTTATAGTTACATTCTAATTCTTCCTGACCTTTATTAATTTTAACAAAAAAATAGTCAACATGATCAAGCCGTACATACAGTGTTAGCAATGGAACGTGATCAATTTCAAATTATTAGAACTCGACTGACAACACTTTTAGAAAAACAAATTACTGAATTTCGTTATTGTTTCCCATTTGGCCGTCCGGAAGGTGCATTGGAAAAAACAATTAGTCTGTTGGAAAGAGTAAGTAACATAATATCGGGTATCTTTTCTAAACAAAACTCAAATTTGAAGTTATTTCAAAGCAAATCATCTATCTTTTTGTGAACTAGTTTATTCGTTTATATCGAATGACATGATGAAGCAGTAATATCTTCATAGTTTACATCACCGGATGGTCGAAGTTGTATAACCGTCAGAAACCAAGAAGTACTGTACAGTTAGACATTTAAACAACTGGATGCTGACTCAATGATCTACAGATTAGGCTCACTCTGAAAGACCTTTATGTCCTGGGTTCGACAGGCGAATGGATAGTGGTTATGTGTTTTTGAGGAACCTTATTTTAGGACGAAACAACTGTTTGATACTTCCTGCCTTGCAGTGAATGACCAACTAATATGAGAACTATGAAGTTCAACAATTATTGTAAAACCCCAAAGTAATATACAAAATTTCATAGTACAATGTGATTTATTGGTGAATGTAATATTACTCGTTTATAAGATTTAGGTTTTTTTAACAAGCCTCCAGGCGTCTTATTTATGTGATGGCCGGTTAAACTTGCAAACTGCTTGAGCCAATTTATATGGTAGGAAGTTCAGATTTGGAACTAATTAGTTGAAGGCCAACTGTCTTTACAGCTAAGACGTCGCTCTATGCATTATATTAACCATAGATGTTAACATTACTTTGTACAGTTCGAAACACATTTACATTGATGACCATCATTGTTAGAAATAAAATCAGTGTTATAAAAATGAAGTTTCATGATTCGAATCTACATCACTATAAGATGTAATTGTAGTTTACTAATAAAAATGTTCATTCAAGACGGTATCAATGTTGTGTTTAGCATGGATCATAGACCTGCTTAGTAAACCGGACATTGAATGTTTAAACATGAGACAATATAATTCTGATGAGAGAATTATTTCAGTATAGGGGTTGTGGAGATTATAAAGTTTTTAATTGAGATCATGAACCGATTGATGTTAGACCACCATTGAAAACCTGGAAGCACTGGACTCCTCAGCAGTGCGCATCCACGATCTCGCTCGCGATTTTCAGTAGCGGTCTAACATCAATCGGTTCATGATATCAATTATGAATTGTTTCATTAATTAAATGATATACAATAGTCTAATATCTTCATGTTTATAGATCAACAATATTGTTGTTAGAACAGAAAGAACTGATACTTTAAAATAGCAGGAACTAAAATATGGGTGAAACTAGACTATTTGAACTGGATCGGAAGAGGACTGACTATAACCTAATATAGATATCACTTGATTACTTTTTCTGTAAAGTTTCTAACTTCCTCTATCTTGTTTTCTTTCCTTAATTGCGAAATATCTGATAGAAAAAAAGAATATCAGATGGGTTTTGTGGAAATTGTAGTAATTTTAATTGTTAAGATCATGAGTCAGTTGAAGCTAGACTACCATGGTCTGGTGGTTAAGTGCTCGCGCGCGAAACCAGTAGGCCCTGGGTTCGAATTTCGCAGGGGGAGCGGTCGTGGATGCATAATACTGAGGAGTCCCACAATAGGACGAAACGGCCGTCCAGTGCTTCCAGGTTTTCCATGATAGTCTAGCTTCAACTAACTCATGATCTTAACTATTGAGAAAAGAGTAGTCAATAAGTACCAATTGAAATCGGTCGTTTACTAACTAAGTATTTATCACCGGAAACACTTAAAGTTTCTATTGAATACTAATAAAGAACTATAATAAAAAGGGATTATTTAAATATAGACTAATTTGTCTCTAATTAACAAACAATATCAGTCCAGTTGGAGGTACTAAAACTCCGCCTGGAGTCCCTCCGGAGGCTACTGCCGGTCCAAAGCCCGGATAAAGGAGGAGGGTTGGGCATAGGGTTAGCGTCCCCATCCCGTAGAAAACTAACTCGCTTAAAAAAACGCTAACCAGAAAAAATTACTCAAACCTTTTAAACTCTGCCCTGGGAGTCAGAAGGTCTTCATTTAGAAAAATTACGACGCCTCATGATGAAAGCCGAATTCCTTCGGAAGTTACAAGGCCGATGCCCGTTCTGACAACCAGACCAACCATTTATTTAGGTACATGGAATGTTCGTACAATGTGGGACACCGGGAGAGCCTTCCAAATTGCTGCAGAAATGAAAAGATACAACCTAGAGGTACTTGGGATCAGTGAAACACATTGGACACAAGTTGGACAACAACGACTAACTACAGGAGAGCTCCTGTTATACTCCGGCCATGAAGAAGAAAACGCACCACATACACAAGGAGTTGCATTGATGCTGTTCAAACAAGCGCAAAATGCGCTTATAGGATGGGAATCTCATGGACCAAGGATCATCAAAGCCTCCTTCAAAACAAAGCAAGAGGGCATTTCAATGAACATCATCCAATGCTATGCACCTACCAAAGATTACAATGAAGACGCTATAGATCAATTCTACAATAGGCTGCAGTCAATAGTCGAGAAGTGCCCAACAAAGGACCTGACCATTCTGATGGGAGATTTTAATGCCAAGGTTGGAACGGACAACACTGGATATGAAGAAATCATGGGACGACACGAACTGGGAGAAAGGAATGAAAATGGTGAGAGATTTGCAAATCTTTGTGCCTTCAATAAGCTGGTCATAGGCAGCACCATATTCCCACATAAACGCATAAACAAAACCACATGGACTTCACTGGATCACTCTACACAAAACCAAATCGACCATATTTGCATCAGCAAAACGTTCAGGAGGACTATAGAGGACGTGAGAACCAAGTGAGGAGCTGATATAGCATCAGATCATAACTTGCTGGTTGCCAAGATGAAATTGAAACTCAAGAAGCACTGGACAACGGGGCGGACAATATCACAAATGTTCAATACGGCCTTTCTTCAGGATACTAACAAACTCAACAAATTCAAGATAGTCCTCAGCAACAAGTTCCAGGCCTTTCATGATCTACTCAATGGAAAAGGAATTACTGTGGAGAGCAACTGGAAGGGGGTCAAAGAAGCAATCACTTCAACATGTCATGAGGTCCTGGGTCACAAGAAGCACCATCACAAGGAATGGATCACTGTTGATACACTGGATAAGATTCAAGAAAGAAGGAACAAGAAGGCAGCAATCAATACCAGCCGAACAAGAGCAGAAAAAGCCAAGGCACAAGCGGAATACACAGAAGTTAACAAACAAGTGAAGAGGAGCACCAGAACCGACAAACGTAAATATGTGGAAAATTTAGCAACGACAGCGGAAAAGGCTGCAAGAGAAGGAAACATGAGACAACTGTACGACACGACAAAGAAACTCTCTGGAAATCACCGCAAACCAGAACGACCAGTGAAAAGCAAGGAAGGCAAGGTAATCATCAACATTGAAGGGCAACAAAACAGGTGGATAGAACACTTCAAAGAACTCTTGAATCGACCAGCTCCACTGAACCCACCCAACATCGAAGCAGCTCCCAGGGACCTCCCAACCAATGTTGGCCCACCAACAATTGAAGAGATAAGCATGGCCATCAGGCAAATCAAGAGTGGAAAAGCACCAAGACCAGACAACATTCCAGCAGAGGCACTAAAAACAGACGTAGCGGTAACTTCAAGGATACTCCACATTCTCTTCAATAAGACAGGATGAGGAACAAGTACCAACAGACTGGAAAGGACTTCTGATCAAAATACCAAAGAAAGGAGATCACAGCAAGTGTGATAACTACAGGGGCATCACTCTTCTCTCAATACCGGGAAAAGTCTTCAACAGGGTATTGTTAAACAGGATGAAGGACTGCGTAGACGCCCGACTTCGTGACCAACAGGCAAGATTCCGTAAGGATAGATCATGTACAGACCAAATCGCAACTCTACGGATCATTGTGGAACAATCAATTGAATGGAATTCATCACTCTACATCAACTTCATTGACTACGAAAAGGCATTTGATAGCGTGGACAGAACAACACTATGGAAACTTCTTCGACACTACGGCGTGCCCCAGAAGATAGTCAATATCATACAGAACTCATATGATGGATTACACTGCAAAATCGTGCATGGAGGACAGTTGACAAAGTCGTTCAAAGTGAAGACCGGTGTTAGGCAAGGTTGCTTACTCTCACCCTTTCTCTTTCTCCTGGTGACCGACTGGATCATGAAGACGTCAACGTCTGAAAGGAAACGCGGGATACAATGGACATCTAAGATGCAGTTGGATGATCTAGACTTCGCAGACGATCTGGCCCTTCTATCCCAAACGCAACAGCAGATGCAAGAGAAGACGAACAGTGTGGCAGCAGCCTCAGCAGCAGTAGGTCTCAATATACACAAAGGGAAAAGCAGGATTCTCCGATACAACACAGAATGCACCAATCCAATCACAATTGACGGAGAAGATTTGGAAGATGTAAAAACCTTTACGTATTTGGGCAGCATCATTGATGAACAAGGTGGATCTGATGCAGATGTGAAGGCGCGGATCGACAAAGCAAGAGCAGCATATTTACAACTGAAGAACATCTGGAACTTAAAACAACTGTCAAACAACACCAAGATCAGGATTTTCAATACAAATGTCAAGACAGTTCTACTGTATGGGGGGGGAAACCTAGAGAACTACGAAAGCCATCGTCCAGAAAATACAGGTGTTTATTAACAGCTGTCTAAGTAAAACAATTTGGATCCGTTAGCCAGACACTATCACAACAACCTACTGTGAGAGAGAACAAACCAGATCCCAGTGGAGAGAGAAATCAGGAAGAAGCGCTGGAAGTGGATAAGACACACATTAAGGAAAGCACGAAACTGTGTCACAAGACAAGCCCTCACATGGAATCCTCAAGGCCAAAGGAGGGGAGGAAGACCAAAGAACACATTACGCCGGGAAATGGAGATAGACATGAGAAAAATGAACAAGAATTGGATGGAACTAGAAAGGAAGGCGGAGGACAGAGTGGGTTGTAGAAAGCTGGTCAGCGGCCTATGCTCCATTGGGAGTAACAGGTGTAAGTAAGTAAGTAAGT